CTCTCAGGTAGCAGTAAATTCTCGAAACCGAACGAGAAAAACAAGACAAATTAATTGAGAAACAACATACCGAAACTTTAAAGAGAATGAAGAACAACCATCTCATTTGTGAAGAATTATACGAAAAGATCAGATCAACAGGATCTCTAATACCAAGACTTTATGGTCTACCGAAAATACACAAAGCTGGCCTTCCACTTCGCCCTATCATCCAGTAGCTGGGTGGTTAGCTGAAATCCTCGAACCTGTCAGGGAGCAACTATCTAATCATTCCCTTCGGGACACCTTCCAATTTGTTGAATGTAAACAGGATATAAATGCGTCGAATAAACATATGTTGTCTTTGGATGTAGAATCCGTATTTACGAACGTTCCACTGACAGAGACCATGTTTTAAATGCAAATATATTGAAGACAAAAAATTGAATATAGGTATACCCACTACAGATCTTAAAGAACTACTTTTGAGATGTACATTGAATGTACAGTTTACTTTCAATGAAACAATCTACAGACAGAAGGATGGTATTGCGATGGGTTCTCCCTTGGGTCCTCTCCTTGCAGACTGTTTTATGTCCAGTGTAGAAAATGGTCAACTGAAGCCCATAATCCAAAGCTTTCAAATGTATAAAAGGTATGTAGATGACACCTTTATTATTTGTAATAGTGATTGTAACTTGAATAATATATTAAATGTATTTAATGGTTGCCATCCTGCGATAAAATTCACACTCGAAATGGAGGACGAGTCTAGCATTCATTTCCTCGATGTGAACTTATCAAGGAGGACCGATGGAACTCTGAAGAGACCGATTTATCGTAAGCTGTTATGGAATGGCCAACTGACAAATTTCTACAGCTGGGTACCCATTGGTCGGAAACAAAACCTGGTCCGGTTGCCTGCCACTCGTATTCGGCGCATATGTAGCACTGATACTGTGAAAGATGAGTTATACATTTTGGGGAAAATCCTTATGGAAAATGGATTTCCACCACATTTTATAGATAAGAAAATACATTCAAACCCTACAAAACGTGACTTATCAAGCGTACCGAAGAAAATATTTCACATGAGCTTGGAATTCAAATGCGACTTAGCTTCCGATATCATGAAACGAAGGATATCACAGTCCCTGAAAAGAACATTCCTTGCTGCATATCTGAGAATAGCCTTTACTAGCTCACCATTACTGTTGATTGACCTGAAGAGCAAGATCCCGCTGCTGACCAATTCTATGTGTGTTTATCAATTCATCTGCTCGTGAGGAGCTAGGTATATCGGTCGTTCGACTCGAGTTTTGTCCAAGAGGGTGCAAGAACACCATCGTGTATGGTTACGTAAAGGTGGAAGTGGAGCAATAAGAAGCGCGATCATTGAACATCTGGTCGATAATGATCACCTTATCTCTATAGCCTCCACCTTTAAAGTCATCTACAAGGCAAAGAGTAATTTACCCAAATCTCTACGTACCCGACTCATTTGTATTGCTGAAGCCATCTTTGGCTATTGAAACAGAAAAGCTAGATCTCTGTGTACACAGAAAAATTTCGTTCAACCCCTCCAACTTTCATGGTCTTAATCCCTCTATGCTAAATTATAGTAATCCCAAATCACATATTAGCTCTACCAATTTTTTATTTTTTCATTTTGTCTATTCATTTTGTATACTCTTCCTTATTACGTCAATTGTTATTATTACTATTCTCACCTTGAACTGTCCCCGGCATTATTTCACTTGTTCCACTTGTCATTCTAAATCAATTCTTCTTTTCCTTACAAAGATCAATTCTATGCTATTAAATTTCACACAATATTACGTAACGTCTTTTGTTTTATTCGATTTGTCTACTAATCCTATAATTGCACACCCTGTTTGAAGTTCTATCCATCCTATGAATTATTCTATATATGACATTAATTTGCTTTGCCACTTGACATTTAATTACGAGTATAATCACAAACATTTTAGTTTTAATTCCATTTCATATGATTATTATTATTATTTTATGCATTCACACACACCTGTGATTCAATTCCCTCATCGGATATAACTTCATAAAAAACAACCATATATAAACGACTGTACAGCTTGATGATAAATTCGTTGTTGGAAAGAGTCTCTTCGCTGAATCACCACTTGTTTTGATTTTCTTTATGTTCCAATGGGTATTTCTCATGAGTCTTCAATATCCTTGGTGGTTGAAACCAGATGTCTGTTATTTGTAAGACATTCAGCTGTCAGCAATAAAAGCTTTCATCACTCAACGTTTGTTCATTAACCAGTCAACTTTGATTTCTACGTGCAGAATGAATTAAATATTCCCGAACACCACCGCAAAGGCTTCAACCCATTGGTTTGTAATGCCTATATATACCTCCACTCAATAAAGTACTGTGTATTAATTATTTCTTGTTTTCATTCTCTTAACCACCAATCTAATGCCCTATTTTTTCCTACCAAATTGGTTTCGATAACCTCTCCTACCAGAACACCTTATCAGCGCCATTACAAACGAACCTGCAGATAGCTTGTGGACGATATTTGCATGAAAACTTGTGGTTGAATAGATTTCGAGCGTTTATAAGTCACGCGATATGATGTTACGTCAACTGGCTCTTGTACTACAATCGATGGTCGATTTCTATATGCCGATCTGTATGTAGCTGAATTGCTTCCACTTTCTTATTCACGTGTGTTGAATTGACTGATCCATCCTCATTGATATGCGAATAGCTGCTGGAAAGACATTACAACTGAAACAGACTGTCAAGTTTCCATGGTCTGATCGACGCTGTAGTTTACATGCCTTTCTACTGTGACCACTAGGCAGCAGCAATATTTCCAATCTGTTAATTTCAAGGATATTTCAAATGTGTTGTATGACCCCACATCCTCCAGATTATAACCGCCTCTTAGTAAATCGTCATCACTGAAATCCTTGAGATATGATGGAATCTATGGATTCAATGAGATTAGTTTGAATTGCGCATTCCATGTAAAAGATAACAGACCTGTGATTGAAATGATAAATACACCAGACTGAGTGAATTAAACAGACCTTATTGAAATGTTGTTCCATCTCGCCTATATGACAGTTAGTGAGTTCGACAATCGCTCTCTTACAATACATCGAGAACAGTTTGTTCACAGTTGCATTTATTTATTGGTTGTACGACTCTTTATTTAATTTGAAAGATGAAATAATACTAGGATTCAATTCATATTTAACTGTGCGCCATTATATTTTGTCAATTCATCAGCATATACTGCAACGATGGCCGGAACGGCCCTCCACAGAGAAGTGTCTAGCTATTCACGGATATGCTTTGCTGTCACGTCAGTGATCTGTGATCACACACTCATATTTCTAGCCCACTTTGTCACTCAGATCAAATGAATGTACTGGAAGTCGTATAGTGATAATTCACTCTGATTACCATCACAATGAGTTTAATTACAGTTTAAGCTAATACTATTATTTCAGGTATTCACACCTGAATTTTAATTTTACTCACAGGACATAGTTTACTCATTACTATCCATATATATGTATGATTTTGCAGCCTAATTATCAAATTCTTGAAGGCAGTCACTTCACTGATTCACCCCGTTTTGATTTTCTGACTATCCAAATTGGAATTTCCGAACAGGATGTTTATTTCAAAATGCAGAAAACTTCTGATGTTGAAATTACTACACAGGAATCCTGCAATTAGTCTGTTATGCCTTGAAATTACAGAAATCTCGAAATTAGTGAATACGTAACTGGCGTAACAATTCGACCTACGAACATGCTACTTCAATGCTATGACTACAATGAACAACGCCAAATAGTCGGATTCCTAGTGTTGAGTCGCTAATATCAAGATGTGTGGCAGCCTATTCAGTCAAATCATGTTCAAATGAATTAAGCTCTGATTCCTGCATACATCATATTCACTGAGGTGGCCAATAAGCAGTACTGATGCTCCTGATACCACAAAATCAAATTGCCTAATCTCTGTAATACTTATAACGAATATAGATCTTCCAAACTGATGAAGTGAAACGCTCAAGTATACATACATCATCATGTCTAGGCAGGCTAATGACTCAGACTGAAAACACCGAATTCATCTGATCAGTTGGAATAAGTCGAATATTTGAATGATAAAATTGTATTTAGAGGCAAGACAGTTAGCGTCATTATGAAAATGAGTTATTTAGTTAAAAGTGTTCATGAAATCCACTGCACACCAATACATTTCAATAATGTGCAGAATAAACGTTTCCCATGGCATCAGGAGTAATAGATTCATATTCTTCTCTAGTTTCTTTCTCCTACTTCTGCGGAGAAAATGAAAGGTGGTGAGCATTATTGATTTCATAGGAAAGCAAACAACGCTGAAGATTGTGAGCATTGGAAGAGACACGAAGGGATTGACCAGTTCTGAATATCGGTGTGTACCATTAGACTTGAAGAACACAAAACAGCTATTGTGAGCATCATTTCACACCCAGAATGAAAGAGAGAGAGAGTCAGTGACTCCAGTCATCCTGATCCACTCATTATATTTCAGATATCTCGAATACATTTATTCATAGTTATGTGTGCATGTGTAGATATGGGTGTTGGTGTGATTTTGAGTGAGGGTAAATTAGGGAAGTGTGACATGACTCAAATCGACTGAACTACAACTGGTGTTCAACTTGGAATAAGTTGTCGATTGCGTTTTGTTCAGTGCCGAATCTGTGGTACACTGCCTGATCCTCTTCAAAATACTACATATGATTTCATATGACATGATGTGATATGACATTATTGAATTGGTGGTCCACCGAATGTTACAAGTCTCGTCCCTGGTGTTCAAAATGCAAATTATATTGTATTCACACTGATCGAATTTAAATTTCAGATATGCATCTATCTATATAAAGACTGGATGACAGTTTCTCTCATCAGGCGATTTTGGAAGATAAAATGTAGGCAGTTGGTGTGAGATAGTAGGTGAATCTTACCTTTCAGGTTCTCGATGGCGGTTTCATGAATCTCCATGAACACTTGAAAAGAAAAACGCAGTAAATAGCTGACTTGTTAGTTGAATAAAAACCAGTCTTTTTCATCAGTGTTTAAATGTCTTGATTAGTCTGCCTGACGTTTATAAACACATACGTGAACACATCGGCCAGTTTCTCGTCACCTAAACTTCTTTCATCATCACTGTCTCCTAAATATTCACTATGGTCACGCAAACACCCGTCCTGATCTAGTTCCCTCTTTGCATTTCCACGCAGCGTAATAAAGTATGTGCATAAAGTCAGCCTGTGTGAGAATAAACTGTCACCTTTGGACATTTGGCGATTGCGATCAGAAAATTCATGTGATAATGGACATTTCAGATTATTGTAGATTCATGTGATCGGTTCACATTCTTCGGTGAATCGACCTATGCACAACCGAACAGTGCGTATTGACTACTTATTGATGAACAGTTCTCCGGAAACCTCGACATTCCAGGATAAATATATTACTGATTTCAATTGTTAATAAGCAATAATGATCAAGTGAACAATAATCCTGTAATCCCGAAAAGCTATTTGCATCATACGATCCCTGATCACACGGAATATAAAGTAGTGGTTTGTATTTGTTTTTGTGAATGAATGTTGACGCATATATGTAGTGTGTATAACCCGTGAACAAAAGAGATTCAACTTACAAATGGTTTTCCCATAATGCATTCTGTGTTGATATGAATCTCCTATGTTCTTCTTCAATTCCTGAAGATCTAAAATTTGTAGGATGATGTCTGCATTTTACATTTGGATGTCAGAGAATCAGATAGTGAAAAGTGGTCATGTAGAATACTGTGAAATAATTGGTAGTTTGGTACAATGTGTTGTTCTTTAAGCAGACGACTAACTCGTCCGCTTGTTCATTCACTTGAAGTTCGATCATTGAACAACTACGAAGATAGTCAAATCACACTGGAGAAACCCCTACAGCTGCTTATTATTTCTAGTCATGTGCTGAATTCACAGAACCTCGACTTCATCATTATTGGGGGACCATATTATATGTCAGTGAACAGGAGTGTGTAAATTACATTTACTGCAGTCTCAACTACATTGGATAGATTCGTGGACTTCAGACTTCAAGTCATTGCCCTTCACAAACGTAATGTACGATAGGGACTTTGAAAGTAAGGTAATCGGATTCTACACTTGATATTCCATCCTGCACGTTGGTGGCTCAACTTCCAATTCACTGACACAACTATCAGATCGAAAAGTGAGTGAATCCTGTGAAACAAACTCCTTTGAGAATACATTTGACTTTCGAAAATTAACCTGAAATATATATTTTCAACATCTTCCAGAGCATTAATCTCCATTTACTCTCTTTACTTCCAGCAGAAGTTGTCAATAATGGGTTACCTTGTTCTTTTCCTGACGGTCTATAATCGTCACAGTTAATTCCTTCTATTGATTGCAACTTAGCTGATGAAGAAACAGAGAGATAGAACAGCGTGTTGAAACAACGAGAAGGCGAACATTCGTTGAGCTTATCATTATAGTATCAAATACTCATGCAACTACAGACCTATCGAATAGAAAAACTTCACACAAATCAATATGAAATGAGTCATCTTGAGTAAGATATCTCCACTCCTACCCGTCTGGTTTGTATCTGAAATTATCGAGAGAGTTCAAAACTGAAAATGACACCGACATAACAATTAAGATTAGGTAGGAATGTTTATTGAATGAGTAAGTGGGAGAGAAGAATGCAAAGCTGAACTGTTTACCTGAGTATGCATCAGCCTCTTCCTGGAGACATTGTTGAAGAGAATGCTCCTCTGAGTAGAGATCTGTATAAGAATGTATTTCAAACAATATATCAACTCATGCTCATTATCTTTTACAATTAGTGTCAGATAAATGTGTGAATTCAACTGCTGAATGGTTGGTGATTCAGAGGCTTCTATCGGATATACTGTGAAATGGCTATATGGATATAGGTAATCGTCTTCGATATCTCTGGTCTCAGATTCTGCAGTAGCACACACACACCGGTGAATGTTTTCCATAAGACGACGGCCAGTGAAATACATGGTGGGAATTTTGATGATCATCGTGTGCGTCGTGGCACAGTGGTTAGAACTCTCGCTGACTGTGCACATGGTCCGAGGTTCGATTCCCTGCCGATATCACATGCTGAAAATTCCATACTTGTACCAAAAATACGGTGTGGAATCAAGATGTAATAAAAAAAGAATGACTATCAGTGTTAAGTAATAATTCTGATAAACTTTTGGATTAATAGTTTAGGAAATATTTTGGATCGATTGATCTCGAAGAGTATGGAAAGATGGTGTGATGGATGATAAACAAAAGGGTGAGCATTATTCAAGTCGACTATGAATTGACTACATGATGCCGAAGGATAACTTCAAAGCTTGAATGCAGTAGTTTCTTATCACATGACTTGTGTTAAGGTGTGTTGATTACGTCAGGTATATATATGCCAATGAGTAACACTAATAACACATTTTGAGTAGGTGATTCCTTATCGAAATCCATTCGGTTTTGTCTGTCGAACAGATTCAAGGAGAAAATATTTAACCTCCTAAACCTTTGACAAATCTCAAATTATATTTAAGTGTTGTTTTGTAGGGATTTGATTGGTTTCAGGATTTCATCATGAGCTGACATTAGTTAGAGAACCATTGGAAAACCTGGGAGTACTGGACAGCTGTTTCCCACGTCCTAGTTTGGGACTCTTCAGCAGTATGCACCCACCCCCAAGGTTCCAACCCAGGACCTTCCGGTTACAAGGCGAGCTAGCTCGTATACCGATCCAGTGGCCAGTCCATGAATTCTAACTTCTACCAATTCACGACATAGCGCGACCGCTAGCCAATGTTTTTGGCGAGTATTTGTCCTCACACCCGACCCGCTGCACCCTACTGGTCACGACTTCCCACTGGAACCAGGTAACTACCTACCAGAATTAGGCCAGTCGCCAGTGAGCATCTCATTGTATTTAAGTGTTGGTTTGTAGGGATTTGACTGGTTTCAGGATTTCATCATGAGCTGACATTGGTTAGAGAACCACTGGAAATCCTGGGAGTACTGGTTGCAAACAAAGTGATCACACCCTACACACGAAATCAGTTGAAATAAATTCAATTTACCATATTCTTCAGATTGTCGTTGAAGTCAATTTACGGCATCTGAAAAGACATAAAATGATAACTGACATTAAGAGTTTCTGCAAAAGAATAATTGCTAATGCAGCATTCATCACTTAAATTTTCGTGGAATTACTGTACAACTGCCTAACGCTACGCTATGGTATGCTCAAGAAAAATTCACTAATCGCTTCTACTGATTACCAAAGTGGGCGATTACACTGACCAGCTCACAACAACCAATTCTCAGGAAATTTATTATTCCTAATTGCTTCTAAGGATTCAAATAATTCTATTCAAATGTTCATCTCAGCTAGTGCTGTTTCCAGTCGTCTTCGGGATGATTATCTCCATCGATTCAGTTAATCCTTCATTCCATTTGAATGGCTAGTTAACGTGATTTGACTGTGACTCTAAATCGGTGCCTGAGCGGTTTTACCTGATGCATTACGTAAGTGAGTGTAATGCATTGCATGGTTTCACATTCGATGGGGCAGGATAAGTACGTTTGTTCGGATTGTAGATTGAATGATGTCGAGAATATCTGAAGGAAGTAGAAGTTAAATTCCCTGAACATGTATCCCCCACCTCAACAACTTCAATCTATCACATTCCTCTCAACACTGAATCAGTGAGTAATCTCATTTGATAATTTTTTCAAGTATGAAATTTTGGTTGCATCGTTGTCAGATCTCACTGGATGGTTCTGGCTACAGATCCGTCGTTTCTGGCAAAAATGTTGAATACTTTATACAACAACAGTAACCCAAACTCATGTGATAATCATGTGAATAAAAGTAGTATATATATATATATATATGGTCGGAATTAATCCTGGAACACACCGTCGAATAAATGTATTCCATAGAAGATTTCATACATCTCTTTCCAACAGTTGACATCTGAAAGAGTTGGTTGGTCATTGAAATTCAAAATATCTTCACTCACAGTTCTCAACGGTGTTGTTGCCAGTTTCTACAGCCTCATTAATAATCTTATCTAGTAAAAGAGAGAAGTGAGAAGATCGACTGCATGAAACCGGACACCTGTGTAAAATTCAACATTCACTATGTATAAAGCATTTAGTAAATTGACCATTATTGAAGCTTGCCTACACCGTTTTGTATATTCCTTTTTGTTACACAACAGAGTGTCATGTCATGTACGTGAAAGTGTGAAGTGTTTTCGATTACAGCGAATATGAATAAATATGAAGTGAATTAAAAAAATCAGGTCGACGCGTGTTGATGAGGATGAGTCCATCACTTTTTTTCACTTGACATTGAGATATGATATCCTTACTTGAATAAGTCTCATGTCAAGAAATGACTCCATATACATATTGTCAATATTGTAAGGTAAAACATTTACACAAAACAGCCTATGGGAAAAATCTCCATAAAATTATAACAAACATCTCATGTGAACACGAGATGCAGACAGAAATCGAGTTGCATCTCATTGCATCTCATCAGGAAGAACCAGAAATCAGTACAAAATAATATATGCTCGTACAACCAAGTATAGGAACTCAACGATACCGTATTTGGCTCGTGTTCTAAGTGACAGAGACAATCTTTAGCGTGAGACCTATGACTTGCTTTGTTGTTAATAACATAATTTTGGCCCTTGTTATTTCCCCCTTATACTCTCTTATTTGTACTGTATAGTGAACAACCTTCTTAAACATACTTAGCTGCTTAAAATTAATTATCGTTGGCTTACTTTTTTTGTACTTTACTCTATTCCTTCTTTTGTATATCTACTGGGTCGGACTATATTATCACTATGATTATTAAAAAATTGTCCTGTCATTAACCATCATGTAGTATTAATTTTTGTGGTGGTTCTTTGTTCGGCACTATTTAACTGACAATCTTGTTTGTGAACGCCACTATCACCACCTTAAAAATTTTGTATTATGCATGATTACTCACACTACCACTACAAACAACCGCATTAGTGCTGCCAATAAAAAAAACACTACCTGAAATGTTTATTTTATGATTGTTTAGTATTGTTCAATCAAATTAACTGATCATCTTGGCTGTAAACATTCTTGAGAACATCTCATAATTTCTTGTATGATTAGAGCTGTCACTGTCCACCACGCATACACATATCATAGCTTCCACTACCCAGTACTGAAATATTTTTTCATCATTCGTGTTTATCTTCCTTTCTACTTAGTATTTTTATTTGCATTTTTCTTTTGTTTTTTTGTTATTTCTGTGTTTCTTTTTTGGTTTTTTACTGTTTTTTATATTTATTTATTTTTTTGTGATACTCCTTTTAAATGTACGATGAAATTAGATGCAATATTGTAGATATGTGCTGAAAATACCGCACTGTACCACAAGTACTGTTTCTGGAATAAAGCGAAATTGTTATGTTATGTTGATCAAGTGATCAATTAACAATCACACGAAATAATTATTTACCTCGAAGTTTTTTAATCTCTGCTTCACCATCAATAATCGACTGGGCTAATCCGGGTAATTCACCTATGTGAAGTAGAAATCGAGAATTATTTTGAATAAATTAGAAGAGACGGATGTTTGGACGCAACAACAGAATGTCACGAAGCATGAAGGAGCAGTTACCACACAAAAGCTCGTGTAGCATGACATAAGAACAGTTATATATATCCATATGAAGTCAATCGTCTTACCTCGAGACTTTGAGAGCAACTTTTCAACGTAGTCTAAAGTAGTCGATTCGCCTTGAAAATAGACAAAGTGAAAAGAGAACATCGATTATTATACAAACCGAAACTTAAATAACACGTAAATACTTTGAAAGAATTTGTTCACTTCAAGCATTGGAGTAGATTTGACGCCTATCTAATTCTGGGTAACTTTGATGCGCTCAGTATGACCGGAATAGTTTCATCCTCTGTAGGATCCATTAATCGGTTTTGAAAGCAGATTACTCCTGACTGACCATGGTTCTACCGAATGCTCTTCTGTATTGACCCTGTTACCAACTCATGATACAGACGAGATGAACAGTACACCTAATCGCCTCTCCTCTAGTTAGTCGTTACCATTGACTGTTATCACTTGACAGTAAGACATGTGATTTATTCGGAATTCAATTCGGAATCCGTCCTCACACTTGGCTCTTCAATACTGCCACTATCCAGAAATGTGCTTCAGCTGTGTTCTCAGCGATCAATATACTGACGCGCACATTTAAAACGGAGAGATAATCAACATCGGATTATTACTCATCACTGAAGGAAAGTGATGTGTAACGGTGATGGTGGAAGCGGTGTTAGAGGCACAGTCAATCTCCTTTCAGAAA